TGATCTCTGGATTTGACTATGAACACTAATAAGAAAAAAATCCTGAGCTGTAGGAATGCGGTATTTCGTGATCTGTGATCACTCCTTTTCCAATTCAAGCCTGTGAGAGCCAGGGCTTTTTGGAGCCAGCAACTAGCAGACGTAGTGATATTGCAGGTTTTTGACAATTCCGGGTTGGCTTCATTTTTCAGAGCTTGTTGCTATGTCCATCTTTTGTACAGTCTATGGTAAAAACTTGTGTGATTTTGTCAGTGTACTTTGGATAGTTCTCATGCTGGAATATTTCTCTTCCAAGCTTTTGCAGACTGGAAAAGCCTTGTAAGCCAGTCATTTTTCATTTATCTAGGGACATTCATGGTGCATCTATGTGATCTCCACAACAGCTTTTGAACTCGTGCAGCCCCATGTCATCAGACGCCCACGTCTGTGCGTCCCTGTCGGATTGTTATGCCATTTACCAAAGTTAAGTCTTGAAGTTCTGTACCACACAGCAAGCAAGGTGTTTTCCTTGGATGCTGTCCATAGATTTTCACACTGTCCTTCATACCTTTGAGCAAGTGATCCTGATTTCCATTGATAAGCTCTGTGCCAAGTCTGAAGCATTTGACTACCTGTGTATTGTGCAAGCTCTCAAAGTTTTACCATTTTGAACAGGAATGAGGAATTTCAAACTGAATTCATCTTTTTATACCCACGTCTGAGCCGGCTCACTGGGCTTCTCTGAGAAGTCAGATGTGAATCAAGCACAACATTCAAACACTAAAACAAATTTTTCTGTTCAGGAATGCAAGTAAATAACTATGATTTGACATCTTAATCAAGAAATAATAATGTGCTTTTCTATTTGTTTTTTTTTTGTAAAACAGTGAATCTAAAAATTCACGGATAACAATAACAATTATATTTTAGCATAAAAAATATCATTTTGGTTAAATCGCCTCTACATACTGGTGTAATAACCATTACAGAAACATTAAAAAGTGATTTTGGTAATTACCAATGCTGTTAATTTAGAGCAGCTGTCTTAAACCTGATATTGGGTGGTGCTAGTTAAGCACTGAATATCCGTATATACGTGTGTGTGTGTGTGTGTGTATACACTGTTTCCCATAAAGTTTGAATTTGTGAATTTAGTTTCAGACACATTCCGCTTCTTATTCCTATTTATACACATATAATCACTTTTGGCCAGGTGCAATAATTACAGACTGAGTCCCAGTTACCAGGTGAAACCAATTCTGACTCCAGGATCTGACTGAAGACTGGGACATCCTGCCCATTGACACCATCAACAAGCTGGTGGACAGAATGCCACGATGTCTTAATGTATTGATCCATGTCAGGGGTGCTCAGACTCAATATTATTGACTGAGGGACATTTGAAAGAGTAATATTGGACGTTCTAATGCATGAAATCCCGTTGAATGTGCGTTTCCTGCTAAATGACCAAGATTGAAAAATCCTGAATCCTATTGTTCAATACCCCCACTTTACTTTAAGCCTGAATACACAGTTTGTAAAAATTAATTGTGATTTACTTTTTACTGTGATAGGTATTGTATGCATATTATGATGACAGTAAAGTTTGGAGAAGATATACACTTTATCTATCAAGAATAAATTGCATTGTCACAATCATTTCATGAGAATAGGTTACAAAAATGTGTTCCAATTTTTTATATATATATTACAGTAGCACTCAATAAAAGCAACAACCCCTCCCCCGTCCCAAAACACACACACACACACACACACACAAAGTAAATAAGTCTTGTGACTCCCACCGCTGAATTTGTGATCTCACTACCTCCTGAGAGAGAAACACATGCATTATTAATAATAATTATGAATATAATTAATGATTAGAATGTATTATTATTGACGTGCATTATTAACAGAATTAAAGCTGTACAACAATGTGTAATAAACAAGCATTCACTCTGAAGGTTACTGCAGTTAAATGTAGAGTCAGACACTGATCATGTCTACATGGTTTCATCATCTGATGAACTAATTTATGTGCTGGCTATAATTAGTTATCTGGAGTAAGACTCAATTAAACAAGTAAGCAAACAAGGTAAAAGTTAATTTTGCAGCAGCTTTCATTTGCTAAAATGTGACCGTTTGAAGGCTTTAATTGAGAGTTCAAACATAGCTTGTCTTTCACTTTAGCAGGGTAACAAGCGCTTTGCCGCACAAATGAAATACTTCGTAGAAGTGCGGCTCTGCAGACAGACGGTACTCAGTACTGGATTATAAGAATAATGAGTCACAATAAGAAAATACTTAGGTACAAGTCGCTGAAATTTGTACTTAAGGTAAATTCGTGTACTTAGTTATATTCCTCCACCTATGTAAATAACTTTAGTGTATTTCCCCTGGATGTATGCGTTTTAACGGCAATATTCAGAACTACGTTTCCCGTGATGCACTTCGGAGGAGCGACCGTAAACAGAAGAAGCGGAAACAAAAGAGGTTTTATAAAAACACAAACACATCTCCGGCTGTCGAACTACTCAGGGAATATACTACAGCTATTGACTTCGCCAGCAAAAATACTGAAATTGAACATAAGGAGGAAGCGGAAGTGAGTTAAACAGCGAACTGCATCAGTCAGCATGGCACTAAAGAGAATACAGAAGGTAAGTTTGATTAGCTGGCTCTGCTTGCCAGCTAAAGGTGGCTAACTGGCTCAGCCGGGCTAGCATCACAGTTCGCTTTCACAATCAGGCTTATTAACAAAGATTCCAATGCTCTCCTTGTCCTAAAACAACTTATCTCGAACTTCGTCACGTTTCTAGAAGAAATGTGATTGTTGACATCTGTTATTACAGACACAACAGATTAGCAACTTCAAAGTTTCACGCTAGCTCGCTAAAAAAAATAGCCAAGTTACCACACTTTCTACCATCTCTGGCTCCTCCATATCGATCTGTCACTGCTTTCGAAGCCGTGTGTTCTTAAACTTGTCTGAGTAATCGGTCTACGGTCCTGCTGTTGTTGTTGTTGTCGCCCTCCTGGCAGTGGACAAGTACTGCAGTGACCAAGAAACTTCCTTCTCAGTCATTTATATTTGTTTGGGGTTTGTCCCTTCGTGTTGCCAGTGTCACTACCTCAGTGAAATATTAAAAGCAGATAGTCAAAAATGTGTTGTGCATCTCCAAACAAATACCAGTTCTCAGGAGACCCAGAATGTGCACTGGAGAGTCATACATAAAAATACCCATCCATCCCTCCATTTTCTTCCACTTATCCAGAGTCAGGTAGAGCAGAGCAGGGCATTCCAGGTGTCCGTCTCCCCAGCAGTGTTATCCAGTCCTTCCAAGGTCCAACAAGTTTTGGGCCTACCCCAGGGTTTCTTCCCAGTTGACCAAAAAAACCTCTTAATGGTGGTGCCCAGTAGACGGCCTCATCAGATGCCTGAACCAGTGCATTTGGGTCCTTTTGACACAAAGGAGCAGAGATTCTACTCTGAGCTCACTTTGTATTTCTGAGCTCTTCACCCTACCTCTAAGGCTGAGTCCAGCCACTCAAGAGAGGAACCTCATTTCGGTCAAGTGTATTCTGATACAATGACTGGTTGATTGAAAGCTTTGCCTTCTAGCTCAGCTCCCTCTTCACCACAATAGCACACATTACTGCTGCTACTGTATCAGTCCGTATGTCTGTGGTATGTTCCATTTTTCAATCACTTGTGAACAACATCCTGAGATTAAACTCCTTCAGTTGGAGCAGTGACCATGGCCTCAGACTTGGAGGTGCTGACTCTCATCCCAGTCACTTGCTGCAAACCATCCTGGTGTGTGCTGAAGGACATGGTCTGATTTACGACAGAACCATGTCATCTGCAAAAAGCAGCTTTAGTTACTGTCGCTAAACTGTTAAAGTGAGCAGTGTGAACATAGGAAAATCAGGAAAAACATCACAGTAGTTCCCACAAGGTTTGATTCAAAATTGATCTTCAGTTGATGTCACCGTAAAAATAAGGAATATCATATTTATCCTTCCATTTTCTATACATCGCTTTATCTTGTGGAGGGTTGCAGAGGGGGGCTGGAGTCTATCCCAGCTGACTCAGGGCGAAGGCAGGTTCACCTGGACAGGTAACCAGTCTGTCACAGAGCTACACAGAGAGACAGATAACCATGTACGCCCACACTCACAACCAATTTAGAATCATCAGTTAACCTCAGCATGTCTTTGGTTTGTGGAAAGAAGCCGAAGCACCCAGTGAGAACCCATGCAACAACATGAGAACATACAAACTCCACACAGAAAGACCCCTCTAGCTATGAGGCGAAGGTGCGAGCCATTGCACCATGCTGCTTCTACTGTTTAACCTTTCTAAATAACTAACAGCAGTATATATTCTGTGTTGAGTAGGAGCTGCAGGACCTGCAGAGAGACCCTCCAGCACAGTGCTCTGCTGGACCAGTGGGGGATGACTGTAAGTACAAACACATTGTACTTTACAATACGTCACTCAAGTGTAGTCAAAAGTGGCAGATTCTTATTTTCCTCAGGCCATTTCTTAGTTAATATGTGGTAATGACACAAAATTGTGGTGGATGAAAATGTTTCTACAATTGTCCATGAACCAACAGATAAGGCAATGGAAACAACAACATAAGTATTTTTCCAAAATTGTTTTATCATTTTCATAATTTAATATGATGGATAATCACAGGCAGGGGACAAACAGGACTTTGAAGAATGTTTACTGAGTCATCACCAAGCATTGTCCGTCTGTCAGCTACACTGACCGTTATTCAAACAACCTATGTTTCAGGGTGGGGGTTACCAAAAGGTCAATTATTCTCTTTTCCAACTTAATTTGGATGTGATGAGAACAATCCCAGAACTGAATATATCTCCTGTACTTCCAACACAGCAGCTTGATAGGTTGCCTTTTAACAAGCAGTGACTGGAGATGGGAGTGGCTAATGTTAGCAGCCTTTTTAACACAGAGAAACCCCATCCTTATCTATGTTGTATAGAAATTGCAGACACTGTATGAGCTTCTGTAGATACAGAATAAGTGATGGCCGACGGGCATGGTGTTAGTGCTGTGTACAGCTTATATTCTTATGTGTCTGTCTGTCTCCCTTATTTGCTTCTAGTGTTTCATTGGCAGGCGACCATAATGGGTCCGGTGAGTATCATGCCGTCGCTTGAGGCTTTTGGTCCTCTCACACAGAGTCCTGTGCTACATTAGAAATGGTCTCTTAATTGATGTGGAAATTTAAATTGTTACAGTAGCTTTTCATAGGGATAGAGATTTTAATTCCATTCAATAGTTTTGATTCCTTCATGTTACTGTGGTTCAGTTACATAGTGCAACACAAAGCGTAACCAGGGGTAAAGTACTACATTTACTTTGATCTGGGCTTTAACTCTCTGAACCCCAAATCTGTTTTTGGGTTTCAAAAGCATGTTATCTTTAAAGACCGTCAAAGTGACACCATTTATGAGTCAGACATGATAAAAACAGAAAGAAGCACCAGATTTACAACTTTCTGTACTAAAACTTTTCTCAAACTATTCTGTAAGGAAAATGAACCAAATCTAAGCTGGAAATTGTGATATTTATTCAAATACTCTTTCTTCTATTTGTCACATTTAAAAATTCACCAAAAATGAACCATTTGCAACTGAAAAGCCATTAATGATTTAGCTGCCACTGGCAGTCATGTGACAAAAATTCTGGTACTTTTCAGCTGAACTGCAGGCAGTGTTTACATTGAACAGACAAGTATGGGAACAAATTAATTACGTCAGAACTGAGACATGATCAAGAATCATTCTTTCTTTATGCATGCTGTCAGTAATTGTACCTTGCCTGTAAACAGGCAATTGCACCAAGTATGAACTGGTAATAAATTAATGAATGAGTTAGTTACAGGCATGACAATGACACTTCTACAGCAGGTCAAAATCATCAGTGTTAGACTGACTTACTGACACTTATCTGATGTGCTGGTTGTCTGTTGTTTCTATCTTGAATGCTTTTCATCGTAACATGTCTTTATGTTAGGGTGACAGTCCTTACCAGGGAGGAGTTTTCTTTCTCACTATCCACTTCCCCACCGACTACCCATTCAAGCCCCCTAAGGTAAGAGCTGGTGAATGGAATCAAAGCTTTGTCTTGTCATACTGTGGGGACTTTGTGCATCACATATCTAAGATCTCATAAATTTTGTAAGGGCTGGTAGCTAGCAAGTTGTGCATTGAATGTCTGTAATGTAGCGAACATAGAATGTACCACTCGCTGTGCATTATCTATACCATGGCCGTTTGCAAAAGAAGGCCATATATAAACATCTTAAGTTACTTTCTCATCTGTAATCAAAAGTGTGCTTTTTCAGCTTCAGAGCATTATTCCTTCATTTTAGGTTTGGATTTTGTAATGCTTTCTTTCACTCCCTGCTCGTGTGCAGATCTGCTGCTGATGCTCCTGGTACTTAAACTTTTTGTCTGTGATCAGAGATACTGTTGCTGCACAATGTCCCTTGCTTCAGTTTGAGTGTGTCTCCTTGCACTTACACTGTGTGCTCACCAAACCTCAGCTCTCACATTTGTGGTGTCACTCTCAATCTTTGTGAAACAATGCTGTCAGATTTCCCCAACTAATAAACTGACAGCTATAAAGCTGACCAATTAAATCGCCACTGTCACCTTATAGGCGCACTGACTTGACTTCTGACAGCGTCCCTTAAAGGCGGTTACTGTTTAATGGTGTTCAGCAGATTACGACCAGCATTGATCACCAAATCAAGGACCTTAAGTAAGTATTTTATTTTAATGGTGCTGTCACTATCTTTACATGTATTTAGTGAAGGCATTCGTGCAGCTGGGGAATACATCCATGATAATATGCTTGGGCTTTTAAGTGTTGATGAATGCAAACACTGTTCCTAGGCAACAAGCATGGATGCTGATGTGTTTCTGTGTTATTTACATCTCAGTGTTTATGAAAGGGAAAACTGGCCCACAGATAGCAAAAGTGACCCACCAACACATAATGACAGTAGAACGAAAATGTAATTCCCATGAGCTGTGACATTTGCTATTGGTGGGCTGGTTTTTCCATTCATAAACACTGAGATGTGAGTAACAGGGAAACACAGTAGCATCCATGTTTGTTGCCTACTAACAGTGCATGCATTAATTAACTCTTGAAGCCCAAGCATATTATTATGGATGTATTCCCATGCTGTAAATATGCCTTTTCCAATTAAAAAAAAAAAAAAGAAAGAAAGAAAAACAAAGTGCAGTTTAACACCATTAAAATGAAACTCTTGCTTCATGTCTTGAATTTGGTGTTCTATGTTGGTGGGTGATCTGCTAAACCTGGTTAAGCATTAACTGCCCGTATACTGTAAAAAACCTAACTGACCTAATTTTCTACCTTAGTGACAGGACAAAAGCCAGTGTGTTATCCATCCATCATCTATACACCACTTAATCCTCACTAAGGTTGCAAGGGGGCTGAAGCTTATCCCAGCTGACTCAGGGTGAAGGCAGGGGAAACCTGGACAGGTAACCAGTTTATCACAGGGCTACACTTAGAGACAGACAACCAAGCACACTCACATTCACACCTACGGACAATTTAGAATCACCAATTAACCTCAACATGTTTTTGGACTGTGGGTTCTCTCTGGGTTCTTTGGCTTCCTCCCACAGTCTAAAAACATGCTGAGATTCATTGGTGATTCTAAATTGTCTGTAGGTGTGAACAGAAAGATCCCAAGCGTCCTAACCGGGACACAAACCAGGGATCTTCTAGCTGTGAGGCGATAGTGCTGACCACCAAGCCATCGTGCAGCCCCCAATGTGCTATGGTGCTACAAATATGTGTACAGTGGGGAAAATAAGTATTTGATACCCTGCTGATTTTGCAAGTTTTCCCACTTACAAAGAATGGAGAGGTCTGTAATTTTTATCGTAGGTACAGTTTAACTGTGATAGACAGAATCTAAAAAAATCCAGAAAATCACATTGTATGATTTTTAAATAATTAATTTGTTTTTTATTGCATGAAATAAATATTTGATACAATAGAAAAAACTGAACTTAATATTTGGTACAGAAACCTTTGTTTACAATTACAGAGGTCAGACTTTTCCTGTAGTTCTTGACCAGTTTTGCACACACTGCAGCAGGGATTTTGGCCCTCTCCTCCATTCAGATCTTCTCCGGATCTTTCAGGTTTCAGGGCTGTCACTGGGCAACACAGACTTTCAGCTCCCTTGAAAGATTTTCTTTTGGTTTCAGGTCTGGAGACTGGCGAGGCCACTCCAGAACCTTGAAATGCTTCTTACGGAGCCACTCCTTAGTTGCCCTGGCTGTGTGTTTCGGGTCATTGTCATGCTGGAAGACCCAGCCACGACCAAATCTTAAATGCTCTTACTGTGGGAAGGAGGTTATTGCCCAAAATCTCGCAGTACATGGCCCCATCCATCCTCCCCTCAATACGGTGTAGTCATCCTGTCCCCTTTGCAGAAAAGCACCCCCAAAGTATGATGTTTCCACCCTCATGCTTCATGGTTGGGATGGTGTCCTTGGGGTTGTACTCATCCCTCTTCTTCCTCCAAACACGGCGAGTGGAGTTGAAACCAAAAAGCTCTATTTTGGTCTCATCTGATCTTCTCCCATGTCGCCTCTGGATCATCCAGATAGTCATTGGCAAACTTCAGACAGGCCTGTATGTGTTGGCTTGAGCAGGGGGACCTTTGAATCCATGACGATGTAGTGTGTTACTGATGGTAACCTTTGAGACTGTGGTCCCAGCTCTCTTCAGGTCATTGACTAGGTCCTCCTGTGTAGTTCTGGGCTGATCCCTAACCTTTCTCATGATCAATGATGCCCCACGAGGCGAGATCTTGCATGGAGCCCCAGACCAAGGTAGATTGACAGTCATCTTGAGTTTCTTCCATTTTCTAATAATTGCACCAACAGTTGTTGCCTTCTCACCAAGCTGCTTGCCTATTGTCCTGTAGCCTATCCCAGCCTTGTGCATGACTACAATTTTGTCCCTATGTCTGATTGATTGAATGTGTGGACAGGTGTCTTTGATACGAGTGACGAGTTCAAACAGGTGCAATTAATACAGGTAATGAGTGGAAAAACTAACAGGTCTGTGAACAGGTCTGTGAGAGCCAGAATTCTTGCTGGTTGGTAGGTGATTAAATACTTATTTAATCAATCAATCAAAATTAAATCAAGTTTCTTGTCATTTTGCTGTACATATACAGTAGTATAGGCAAGATGAAAGAGCGTTTCTTCAGGATCCAATTACTTAAAGTAATTTAAATAAAGAAGTTTTTGCATATCTAGATCAGCAGTTCAGCATTCTGACAGCTTGTGGAATGAAGCTGTTGATCATTCTGGAGGTTCTTCCTTGAATGTTCCAGAAACGTTTGCCTGATGGCAGCAGTTCAACAGTTTATGGAGAGGGTGTGAGGAGTCCCTGATAATGTTCAGTGCCCTGCTCCTGCAGCGGCTCTGGAAAAGTTCTTGGACAGAGGTGAGGGAAACTCTGATGATCCTCTCAGCTCTTCTACCTATCCTCTGCAGGGCTTTTCTGTCTGATATACTGCAGCTGGAGTACCATGTTGAGATGCAGTATGTCAGAACGCTCTCCACCACATCTCTATGGGAAAGAGGCTTGTTTCAGCCTCCTCAGAAAATGCAGTCTCTGCTGGGACCGTTTGATGATCGCTGCAGTGTTCTTATTCCAGCTCAGGTCCTGTGAGATCTGCACTTTGAGGAACTTGATGTTCTCCACTCTCTCCACCGTGCAGCCGCTGATGCTGAGGGGAGCATGCTCAGGACGTGACCTACGGAAGTCGATGATCATCTCCTTCTTTTTGTCCACATTGAGCAGCAGGTTGTTCTTACTGCACCAGCCCTCTAGGTGTTTCACTTCATCTCTGTACATTGATTCTTTGTTCTCGCGAATAAGTCCTATTACTGTGGTCTCATCAGCAAACTTGATGATCTGGATCCCCTCGTGTGGCTGCACAGTCGTGTTAGCAGTGTAAACAACAGTGGACTGAGTACAGATCCAGTGCTCAGCGTGATGAAGCTGGAGATGTTCTTTCCGACTCGGACAGACTGGAGTCTTTCGGTCAGAAAGATGATCAGAGCGGCCAAGGCCAAGTCTTTGTGTGCATCAGGGAAGTTTGAATACATCAAGTCCAGCATGTTCTCTCCTCTGGTTTTAAAGTCCACAAATTGCTTGAACTTAGGGAGCACAGACTTTAAACTGGTGTGGTTAAAATCCCCTGAAACCACCATAAAGCTTTCCGGGTGTTTAGTTAAAAGTTCACCGATGGCATTGTGTTGCCCTCCTTTCGTCTCATTAGTATTTGCGCTTGGAGCTATGTAAACAACGGCTACAATCACATTGGTGAATTCCCTCGGCAGGTAGAATGGCCAGCATTTTACCATAAGAAACTCTTCCAACTGAGAGCAGTGTTGAGAGGCTAATGTGGCATTAACACACCAGTCTTTGTTCATATAGATGCACAGCCCCCCGCCTTGGTTTTTACCAGAGCTAGCTGCCTGTCTGTCCGCCCAGAACAATGTCGTCGCCTCCAGCTGTATGGCCATCTGGGATGTTCTCATGGAGCCATGTTTCTGTTAAAGCAAACACATAGCAGTCCCTCCACTCTCTGCAGGTTACTCCCAGCAATCGTAGCTTGTCCAGCTTGTTGTCGAGGGGGGCAGACATTGGAGAGTAGGCGCGACAGTCCTGCTGGTCTTGAGGAGTTAGCCTTTGGCCTAGCATGGATCCTGGCTCTCTTGTCCCCCTCCTTCGTTTACGTTCGTACCGTTTGCGCTTCCTTCTCTCTCGGATAACTGCCGACGTAGTCTCCAATAGGATTCCGTGTTGTTGTAGTATGTCCAAATCACAACCGATCGCTGCAATTTTAGCGCCATTTATTATCCTGATGTTCAGCAAAGTCTCTCAGCTGTAAGTTTTGCGGAATGAACATCTGGGGTAGACAAGACACTCAAAACATTCATTTTTGTTGTCTCCTTAAGGGGTTGCTGCGTTCACACGTGCCGCAATCACCATAGCAATAAATTAATTATCATTAATTAATTATAAATAATAATTATTAATTATAACATTAACCATTAATGCAATAAAATGCAAATTAATTTTTTAAAAATCATGCAATGTGTTTTTCTGGCTTTCTTTTAGATTCTGTCTCTCACAGTTGAAGTGTACCTACGATAAAAAATACAGACCTCTCCATTGTTTGTAAGTGGGAAAACTTGCAAAATCAGCAGCACCAAGTTTGGTGAATGCACAGAAGGAGTCTGAGTGTGAGGCACAGGACAGTATATCTGAGTGTAGAATAACCCTAACCCCAAAAGATAACTAATCAACTACGAAATAAAGAAGACAAAACCCAAAACGCATACCCAGAAAGGAACCACGACTTTATCCAAGAACACAAACCAAAACCAACTGAAAAAAACAGAAACTAAAGCCCGTTCGGGCAGAACAATGACACAGACCAGGATTACAAAACCAGAAAAGGTAACTAATCAACCTTGAAATAAAGAAAACAAAACCCAAAACGCATACCCAGAAAGGAACCACGACTTTGTCCAAGAACACAAACCAAAACCAACTGGAATAATCCAGAAACTACAACCCGTTCGGGCAGAACAATATGACACCAGCTGGGACAACATAATAACAATTGATTAATCAAACGACTGTTGAAAACAAAGACCAAAACCAGACCAACTCTGAAGGTGAAAGCCCAGCTTTTTGAGACAAACTTCCATAAAACCCAACTCTATACCAAAACCCCTAACCCTCGGACCAGAGAATGTTACCAAGATGGCGACGGCCTCTCGCCAGGACATCCTCTCTTGTACTTTTGTACTTCAGCCGAGACCAGGGAATACAACCAGGGAAACAATGTCCTCTTGCCTTACAAGTCTTCCCTTCACCAATTCCAAAACCTAACCCTAACCAAAAAAACACGTCAGAAATCTAACACCCAAGTGGTTTGCAAGATGACACTAACGTACAACAAGGTGAACGGAGAGTTTTGACGACGTTTGACGGCCAGTGCATTGCCTTTGCTTCCTACCCCAAACTGCTTTGCCGTCGGGCATGGCAGGGGAAGTTATCGAGACAGATTTGAAAAACCAAACCTAAGCAGAGGCTATTTTAGAAAGAAGGCACAGTTTATGGAGACCATCACAAAATCTGTGTGAAAAAAGAAATAAAACACTTAAATTTAAAGACCATACCTCCATATAATCCCATAAAAATGTCACTTGTTAATTTACACATGTGACTCATTTTGGAAACCTTCTTTCTTATTTTAATCTGAATTTCTGTTGCCAGGCAACATCAGATTGGTAGCTCAGCTTTGCTGTTCTTGCCTTTGCTCAAGAAGTCATATTAGTTATCAATTCAGAGATGTAACAATTTAGTAAAGAAAAGTAAAAAAAAAATAGTAAGAGATGTTTGATGACTACGTTTTGATCTACACCTTCTAAACAAGCAGAATTAAAAGTGTTCAGTGGTATAATCCACCAGAATTCAAGCTCCAGCTGAAATATGCCTCGTAAACAGAGCACTTTGTGTGAGTGTGTTCTATCTTCAGAAGTTTTTATTTACATCTTTTTAACAATTTTCTTTCTTTTAAACTTGTATTAAAGGTTTTCAAAACGTTTAAAAGTAAAAGTTTCCTGTCTTCATTCAGCAGTGACCCCCAGATTCTCAGCACTACCATCAGAGGAGTGAACCAAAAAATAATAAAAATGTTAGGGACAGCACTATAACCAGACCTGGGGCCACGTTATGAGCTTATTATATGAGACAAACTCTAGTATTGTATCTGTACTACGTTTATTCTCCATGCTGATACCTGTGTGAATAAACTGTGGCTGTTTTTTTTTTGTTTGTTTGTTTTTACAGGTAGCATTTACAACAAAGATTTATCACCCAAATATAAACAGCAACGGCAGTATCTGTTTGGACATTCTACGGTCACAGTGGTCTCCTGCACTAACAGTGTCTAAAGGTAACTAGTCCTCTTCCTATTACTGTATCTGAAGTCTTTTTGAATGTTATCTTGGGCTGCACGATTTTTAAAAATGACTCAGCAATATTTTTTTTCTTATATATGTTGCAAATAGAAATTAAAGCCGCAAGCGGCATTGGACGGGTCCTCGCCCTATGCTTGTCGGCCGTCGAGCACATCGGGGTGTGGCGCAAACGTGCTCCGGGCGGGACTCTGTCGAGTTTGGGGCTGATCGGAGCACGTGCGGCCTAGTTACGAGCCACTTCCTGTTTAGCGGCGAGCCGCGGCAGCGTGCGTGTTGGCCGGGGCGATAATTGAACATGGCTGCACAATTATGGCTAAAATTATTATTTTGATCAATATTAAGGTCAGAATTATTCATCACCAATATTCATTTGTTTTAGAGACAAAATATTTTATTGGCCATTTAAATAAACAGATTGCTGCTTTCACTTCTATTTTGTGCTACAACCCTTTTAATTTACACATCTACATCAAAATATGACCTAAGATTCTTCCTAACCTGCACTGACCGTATGTCTAAGAGGCGTAATATACATAGATTACAAGAATTACTTGACCAGATTGAAATAAGGCATTTTAATGTTAGATTAACCAACTTGTAAAAAGTAATTTTATCTGTACAGGCCATTTTCTGTGAGTAAGGTTTTCTATAAGCATTTTTTCATCATTACCACAGTCGATCATGTTCATATCATTGGGGGAAACTAAAATTATGATTAATATTCCATGTATTGTGCAGCCCTACAACTGTGTGTCTTTTAGCAACAAGATTGTCCTGTTTCATGTTTCTCTACTGTCCTTGCTCGTTTTGCTGTGTGCATGTGGAGCCTTCACGCCAACAAATTCTGTCTTGAGTAGATGATGTTCTATCAGACAGACTTCTCTTGTCAGTTAGTCATGGAAAATAAGAACTCCATGAGTTTAATTTTTGTATCAAGCAGCATAAAAAGCATGTATTTAAGATGATTTTCTGACTTCACTTTGCACTTCCTGCAAGGTAGCTTCTGTGCATGTGCACACAAGTTCCATGCTAAAGTGTCATGCAGCCCTAATGTTATCTGCAGTTTAAGTTTATTTCATACATACATTATGGACAGAACCACTCCCCCAGCTGACTCTTGTGTTTATGACATGATTGCATTGCTTCGTTTCTGCAGAATTGTTAGCTATACATTGATTCTGCCAATTCAGATCTAGTGACATTGTCATGTTCATTAATCGGTTTGAGACACCAGCTGAAGTGTTTAGTCAGTTAACTAATGGCCTATTTTATGTTCTTTGTCATTTCAGTTTTATTGTCCATATGTTCGTTGCTTTGTGATCCAAACCCAGATGACCCCTTAGTGCCAGACATAGCACACATCTACAAGAACGACAAAGACAAGTGAGTATAAACAAGGGCTCTGAATTGTTGACTGATATCATTATCTTCATCAGGGGCCCATCCACTTACTCTGCTTTCTTCTTTTCTCTCTTCAGATACAACAAATTAGCAAAAGAATGGACCCAAAAGTATGCCATGTAAAGAAAAAAAAATCTAAGATAAAAAATCATGCTGAGATTTTTTCTTTTTCCTTCCTTTTTTAAAGTCACAACACACTGTAAATTATAGTATGAAACCACACGTAATCATAAGGAAGTCCCATCAAACTGTACTTTCATCAGCATTATTATTAATCCGAGATGTGACATATTCATTAATTGTTTTTGAAAGAAAGCAGGACGGTTTTTTTGAGCAGTCATTTTATGGATATCTTGACATTTTGAAGTTTGGCATGTTCATTTTGCAAGGAAATTTTATTTCTAACATATAGTTTTTTTTTTTTTTACAAATTTGCTCTACATCATTCTTTATTTTCTAAATAAAAATAGAACATTTTAGTACAGAAACCCCACCGTATGCCCTCGAGCATCAAACCTTTCTCAGAGGTGCTGAGGAACCAGCTTCAGTTCCTGCTGTGTCTATCAACCCAGCAAGAAACACGCAGAACCAAGGGAACATTGAAGGGTGAATGTCAAATATACCTGGCCCTCATTCTGACGTATGTCTGTAAAAAAAAAAAAAAAAAAAGGAATACTGACAACATCATAATATCCCCTCTAACATTACAACTTACCCTCAACTTCATGTAGTTGGAGATGGAGGTTTTTGTTTTGCATCTTGTAGCAGACGAAGTAGGCTGAAATGATGTACTGTTGCAGTTGCCCTGAATGGGAGCAATTACTTACATGTCACGTCATGTAGACCTGTGTTCGATTATTATTATTATTATTATTATTGTTTTTGTTATTATTATTATGATTATTATTAATGATAATGATAATAATAATAACAAACGTATAGTATTAAAACTCTCTGGAACAACATTATTGTTTTATTCTATTGAATTTAATCTAGAGTCATCACAATGTAAATCTACCATTAAAACAATGTCCTCTTTTCTCCTGAAAATAGCTGTGATGTTGGGTTTTTAGTTGGATTTACGCAGGCACAAAGACCCGAGGCCTGTACTATGCAGCAGGATTTAGGGTTAGCGAGGTAACTTCAGGTCAAATCCTAGGTTTTCGGTCCTACGACGGTGGTTCACTTCTTACTGGGATAAATCACCATGGTAACTTAGACTGAATGACTAACCTGCTCCGTAGCAGGTTATGTTCAAGGTTGAGATCACTGGGTATAAAAACACCGCCCACTGAAAATCAGTTCTCTCCCGTAAAGCTTCAGAATGAGTAGCAAACGAACTAGTTCTCAACCAAATTGCATCACCAGCATTTATTGAAGACCGGCTACACACAGCGTGAATTGTGAGGGATCACTGAGGAGTGTGAGGGTTTTTCGGGACAGGCAAAACAGCGCACCCTGACGAGGATCTCTGTGAGCTTCATTAATTTTTTTCGTGTTGGCTACAGGCAATGTCAAAGCTATTTCATATTTTTTTCCATACCAATATCACCCCACAACAGTAAATTGACTTTAGCATTAAAGCTTGCATTTGTAGGATATGTGAATAAGCTACACCGCTTTGAATTATGTTTCTGTTTGTTCTTAATTTGTTCCCACGTCCTTTTTTGCACCGCCAGGATTGCAGCTGAAAGTAAAAGTAAATGTCAGATATGCCACAAGTATATACATTAGGCAGCAAATTAGTTAAAAGGAATCCTCAGTTGTGCTTATTGTCTGATATGTGCCTTCATGATGTAACAGTGGTCATATTTTATTATATTATAAACTAATGAACTCATGCATTCACACAGTCAGCAGTTTTCTGCCAGCATTCCTTCCTGGCTTTGGTCACTGCAACGGTGCTGCTTTTTCCTCCTATGAAGTTTTTATATTATTCTTCATATTTTGTAAAGTGAGCCGCTCTGCAGCCAGACTTGTCCATATTCGTGATTGGTCAGATCCTGATAACGCCGCTCATTTTATGTGCACATGCTCATACGTTGTATTCGCTCATAAGTTTTATCTATCTATCTATCTATCTATCTATACTCAGATCAGACAACCCTGGGTTGACTTATGGAGTTGATAACCACTGTCGTAGGACCGGTTATCCTGAGTGCGATTGTTAGGGTTAGTCAAGCCGGATCTTTGAAAGAAGTCCTGGGTATGTTGATCTCGCTTCGTTGCACAGGCCCCACATTTTGAACCCTATGAAAGCGGTTACATATGTTCTTCTGTTTTACCTCCAGTCTATCACTATATCTGAATATGCTATAGAGAGGTTGAATTCCTGTTTTCTGTTCCTGTGTAATCAGTGTCTTGGCTTTGTCTTTGAGGCCTGTCTGGCACTTTTTGTACTAAATTAAAGAATGGTGGGGATTTTATCATGACGTTATGGTCTAAATCAATTTTTATCTCTGTGCGTAATAATAATAATAATACAGCATACAACAGTAGTGAGTACACCCCGAGGCAAAAATCACTTAAATGTCAAATGGTTCAAAATTGTATCAGCTCTTAATATTTGCGTATTTTCTGAGTTGATAACAGTAATGGAGTAGGCTGTGTGTCGACTGAGCTCTGCAAGAAATGTTAAATAACTTTTTATTTGGTGCTCTTTATCAAAATCAATATACAGGAAAACTACACGCAGTACTTCTGGAATCGCAAACTACTTCTTGCCTTTCACACCTTATTCCAAATTATTATGCAAATTATATTTTTATTTGATTTTCCTAAATAGTCAATGCTAATGACAGTCAGCATAATTTTCAAGTCATCAACCGTTATTGAACAAACCTCCCAATGATACCAGTATTTTTTTCAAAAATAAAAAACTTAAAATGCACTGTTCCAAATTATTACGCACAACAGAGTTCCAAAGCATTTTATAGGTTGTAAAGAACTGAAAATGGTCATTTGTTCAATTTGCAGCATTCAGAGGTCATATTTATTGAAATCAAAAGCTATTTCAGTCAAAAACATCGTAACAGGTCAAGTTACATTTTAACATAGGACCCCTTATTTGATAGCAGCTGCACAATTCTTGCATCCATTGAACTTGTGAGTTTTTGGAGAGTTTCCGCTTTAACTTCTTTGCAGGATGTCAGAATAACCTCCGAGAGTTGCGGTTTGGATATAAACAGCCTCCAACCCTCATAGATCTTTTCCTTGAGGATGCTCCAAAGGTTGTCAATAAGGTTCAGGTCACAAGAGGATGGGGCAACATCATGAGTTTCTCTCCTTTTATGCCCATAGCAGCCAATGATGCAGAGGTATTCCTTACAACATGAGATGGTGCATTTGTCATGCACAAAGTTGATTTTGTGACGAAAAGCATGGGTCTTTTTTTTGTACCATGGAAGAAAGTGGACAGCCAGAAACTCCACATACTTTTCAGAGGTCATTTTCACACCTTCAGGGACCATAAAGGGGCCAACCTGCTCTCTCATCGTGATTCCGGCCCAAAACGTGACTCCGCCACCTCCTTCCTGATGTTGCAGCCTTGTTGGGACATGGTCGCTGGACACCAACCATCCACTACTCCATCCATCTGGACCATCCAGGGTTTCACTGCACTCATCAGTGAACAAGACTGTTAGAAAATTTGTTTTCATGTATTTCTGGGCCCATTGCAGCCGTTTCTGCTAGTGAGCATTGGTTAGGGGTGGCCAAATAGAAGGTTTGTGCATAACTACAAGCCTCTGGCGAATCCTACACCTCGATGTTCGTGGAACTCCAGAGGCACCAGCAGCTTCAAATACCTGTTTGCTGCTTTGTAATGGCATTTTAGCAGCTGCTCTCTTAATCCGATGTATTTGTCTGGCAGAAACCTTCCTCGTACTTTTATCTGGACGGACCTGTGTATGCTCTGAATCAGCCACAAATCTCTTCATAGTACAATGACCACGCTTAAGTTTTCGTGAAATGTATAAGGTTTTCATACCTTGTCCAAGTCATTCAACTATTTTATGCTTTTCTGCAGCAGAGAGGTCCTTTTTCTTTCCCATAATGCTTGAAAATGGTGGTCTGCTTCATAATGTGGAACGTCCTTCTTTAGTATTTTTGCCTTTATTTGGGCTTACCTGGCAAACTAATTATCACAGGTGTCTGAGATTGATTTCAGTGATCCAAATAGCCCTGGGATACAATACCATCCATGAGTTTAATTGAAAAACAGAAAATGTAATCTTTATGACACTTACATACAATTTGCATAATAATTTGGAACACAGTGTCTATTTCCAAATAAATGGCGAGTAATGTGCACAGATACATAGGCCAGAATAGCAAAATAGACGCAAATATAACTTCTGTGTGGATGTAGTCTCTCCTGCTAAGACTGTTCGTTGTTACCCGAACAACAAACCCTGGGTGACGCAGGAGGTCAAAGCTGCACTAAACAGGAAGAAGGTGGCCTTCAGGAACAAAGACAGGAGGCAATCAGATCAGCACAGAGGGAGGTGAAGCTGTGCCTGAAAGAGGCCAAAGACACCTACAGGAGGAAGGTGGAGCAGCAGCTGAGGGACAACAACATGAGGAAGGTCTGGCAGGGTGTGAATACCGTCACGGGCTTCAGAACAGCAGGGGGAACGGTGGAGGAGGCAAACAATCTGAATGCCTTCTTCAACTGGTTTGACCAGTCCATGACCCGCCTCCACCCTCACCCTCACCGCGCTCCCCCCTCCCCTCTCCCTCAGTGTGCCTCCCTCTCAACATCAAGCCACAACCTACATGAGAGAAGTCAAGACCTTTGTGTAACAGTTGGTCCCATGATTCTAGCCCTTTTCATTGTTGAACTCGAAGCTTTAAAAGATGTACCAAAGTCAAAGTTCAAAAGTCAATATCTCTGAGCAATAGCAACTTCAAACTTCCAGACTGACATAATCTTACTCCCCTGATCAAGTCCTTTCCAATGATGTATCATGTTTAGTCCTATGTCAAAGTTTTAACTTCCCCCCCCTCTGGACCCAGCACTGTGTCAGGTGTAGTTTTCCAGGAGACGTGTGAAGCTCAATTGGATGAAATGAAATAAAAACAATTTTGTTAAATATAGTGGGTAAATT